TTTGGGTTTTTTTCTGTCTCATGCCCCCCCCCCCCCCAAATACACTTGTATATGGTAGCAATTGCATTCCATTTTGGCCTTTGCTAGTGTAAATCCATATTTCTTGGTCTTGTGAGATGGCCTCTCTATTTCTCTTTTCATCCTAGTAGCCTCTCTTTGCACTGAACCATGTTTTGAGTTAATCTTTCATGAACATGGGTGACCGCATTAATATCTACCTTTCTCTACTGAAAATACACTTTCTGCTATGGCCGAGGATTACGATTGCCTCTTATTGGTCATTCACAATCATCCTATATTTGTTCTTTTCTGTCACTTTCATTAGATGAGATTCTAATTTATGGCAGAAATTCATATTGGTTATGAAGTGTATAACTTTGCATTCTGTCTTTTGAAATGCCATCCATTTCTGTTACTTCAGCTCTCAAGAGGTGTTGTAATGCCTGTACTCCTGTGACTTGATATTGTGACATGGGCTGAGCACTCTTGTAGCCTGTCTGCACTGCCTACTTGCCAAGTCCTGGCACGTGTGTTGTGGGAGTAAGGATGAAGGGAGGGGAATTATGGATGTTACCTTAAGGGTCTTACTCATCCACCCCTCCCTCATTCCCACCCCCTCCCCCCCGGTATCTTGTTCTAGTCCTCTCTATTGATGATCTCAATTTTTTTGATGGAATTGGTAATCTCATCCAAAAAAAATTGTTAGCATGCTCTGACTGATTGTCCACTAGATGATCCCAAAAACTAACCCCTAAGGAATTACACAATTAATTTCTCTCTAGCCCAGTGACTTTTTTTTTCCCCCTTACAATACAGGTGGTAGTTGCCTCCCCTTTTAAGCAGTTATGTTATAATTCTTGTACTAATCCCTATCTTTTCTACTTGAATGAGTACAATGTGTAAATGGCAGTGCAACATATTAAAGGCTGTTGATTTAAAAAAAAAAAATGAAGTGGGTTTGACCTTGGCTTCTGTTCTGAAAGAGGTTTTTTTTTTGGTTTGTTTTTTGCATCTCGGACACACATATTAGGAAATCAAGCAATGATCCTGTTCGCCTTTGTTAACCAATGTAAAACTTTTATGAGAGAATTATGTTAATGTAGTAAACTGTAGTCCTTGTTAAATATACTTCATCATGAATTAATGATGTCTTTTCCATTGTTCACTTTATGCTCTTGAGAGAGTCTTGCAAACTCTGAATTGTCCTCACAGAGTGCCTGAAGGTTTTATGCACATGTTCTTGCTGTCTCAGTGCTGAAAGTGAATGGCTGGTAGCTTTTATTATTCTGTCTTGTTTGATTTGTTCCCCACTCTCACCTCCCAAATCAAATACCAATTTTGAAAGGATACTTTAACTAAAAGGTTTTTTGGGTTTTTTTTGTTCATTTTCAAAGAGATGCTTGTTTCATTAACCTCCAGAGAAGCATCATCATGGACAAAAATGGTCCAATTAAGGGAAATGGATAATGACAAAACTTGCTCTCTTTGAATAATGCAGTAAAACACTGCTCCCACTTGGCTAGGTTAAGTGTTTTACAGACTGACACTGTTTCAGGTATGATATTGTTCTCTTTGACTGTTCTTTACCATGAATGTCCTTTTGTTCCCTCTTACAGTTTAAAGAGCCAGCAAGGACTGCTAGTGGAGTTTTCAGCTTTTCCACAGAAATTCATTGATTTGTTAGAACAGTGCATTTTGGAACAAGGAAAACAAGTCCCTCGGTAAGACCAGGTTCATTATTTCGTTAGAATTCACCTCTGAAAAGAGCATTCGATTTAAAAAAAAAAAAAAAAAAATCCTTACTGGTAACAGCATTTTAGTGACTAGCCCAACAATTCATAGATCATCTGTAGATGGTAGGATGTCATGGTGATAAAATCTTCAGAAATGTCAGAGCAGTTCCTGTGCCTATAGCCCCATGTTTGAAGAGTTTAACTCTGGTAAGAAAGCCATGTACATATAACTCAGAGAGAAATTATTATTGTTCTACCAGTAACTAAAGAAATACATTTTCTATCCTGACAATACCACCATTCTCTGTATTACTCAAGCCTGCAATATAGGGGTCAGTTGTCTCATCTGTCTTCACTGCCTTGTGTCCAAATTTTGTGAGACTCTATTTATTTTTTTGACTGGGAAAAGATTGGTCCTTTTCTTAGTCATGTCTTTCAGTATCTTGCCATATCACTTTCCTTTATGACACATCTTTCTTTCTGGCCTTCCTGAACTTGACATTGCCTTCCATAGTCGCTACAAAATACTGCAGCTAAAACCATCTTCCTTGTTTTTGGTTTGATCACATGTGCTGTTTACAGATGTGGAGGTGGGTGGGGGGAGGAAAACAGTGCCTTATTTTAAGCTCAGTGTGGGGATGCAATGCATCCTTGTTTTTCTATTATTAGCTCAACATCTGTATAGCTCAGGCACTTCAGCAAGGCTTTTTGGAGTTTTTATCTAATAGCCGATTGTCAGCTATTAGATAAAAGCATCAAAAGGCCCGGGTGAAGTGTCCAGTCTATACAGATGCTGAAGAGCTGGGTCAAACTAACTTGCTGCTTCTTCTGGTAGAGCGCTGTTTTTGGGTTGGGTTTTTTTTTTCACGTCTCGTGGTGCCCATTATTACCTACTTTCAACCCTTCTTCCTCTCTGCCATTCTCTATTATATGTAAATAGTTCTAACCTATTGAATTCAATAGGCAGCAATTTTTAATATTTACCTTTTTTTGGTATGACTAGGTTTTTAATTCAACTGGTAACATCTCCTGTTCTGGACTGCATGACAACATGTTTAAATATAGTGGAAACCAATCCATTCAAGCATCTTACTCATTTGTCTCTAAAGCTTTTGCCGGGAAGTGACAGTGACATCAAAAAATATCTTACCCTCTGCATTCAGAATTTAAAGGTATGATGTAAATCCTCACTTATTAGGCAATGACTGCTATCGGCAAGAACAATAATAAAATCTAAGTTCCTGATCTCCAAAAGTGCTGGGGAAGTCCATCCTTACTTCCATGAAGAGCCACATAGATTTGTGCTAGTTGATACAATAACTAGTTCTTACACTTACATTAAATATACACATTATCAATTTATTTTAAGTGTTTGGGCCTGAGTTGTTTTTCATTGCAGAAGTCTGGTGATTCAGGAGAGTTGCTCTTGGCTTTTTTACTAGTTTAAAGATGGGAGTTGGGTCCAGTGTCTGTTAGGTATATTGAGGATGAAATTCCAGTATTTTAACTGGCTATGTATGTACTGGTTTATGCTTGAAAAGAATAAGAAATAACAGTGGAATTTTTCTGTAGGCCTGCCTGGTCTAACCAAAATTTTAGTGCATAATTTAGTAGTTTCAAAACTACTGAAAAGAACTGAGATGCTGAATTTGGTAGAGTTGATTCATAAGAGCTAAACCTCACAAGTCTTCTTTTTCTTGAATCCTGTCTCTTACCTGTATGAAGATCCAATTAAAAACAAATTCTAAATAAATAGAGGTTTGTGCTGTGACAGCAAATAGCCTCCTTTCCAAATCAGGGTTGGTACACACGGATTATGTACACAGTATGCCATCCCTTCGTGGGGGCTATTTTTTCTTTTCTCTCTGCTACTTTAAAGAAAAAGAATCTTTAAATGGAATGTGAACCTCATGACCTTTAAGTATCTTGCAAATAATTGTTGATCAAGTTAATTGGAAATTGCATATAATGAGTTCTTCTGCCTTAAAAGAAATTGCAGGAAAGATGTAAAAGGCATGTATATGAAAGACAAAGAATACTCGAGTGCCTGACAGATTTATCCTTGTATATCAAATCCATTAAAATATTTTATGCAAATTTTAAATTTTCTCCCTTTGTTTTTCTAGACATACAGCTCTTATTTTTTTCCCCACTGTTTTGATTCATACAATAATTGCTTTACAGCAAGTATAGTGATATAAAACAAAAATTTTTTTGCTAGCAAGCTAGAAGGAAGCCACCTAGTTAATGTATAATATCATCATTGATAGCAGTAGTTGTGTATGGGGAGAGGTTCATGTATCAGCAAATAATTGTAGGTGTATGAATGCTAGGGATGTGCGAAGCAGGCAGTATTAGATTTGGATTCAGCCCAATTCGGAGGACAGGGATTTGATTTTTCTGATTTGGATCACTGTCCTGATTCAGTTCAGCTGAATCCAGATCTGAAGATTCAATTCTGATTCGGAGAATCAGCAATTCAGCCATAGACACAGCTTTACATGTTTTTGTTTTGAGGCTTTTTTTCCTATGGACCTTGAGGTACCAGGTATGGTTTGTGAATGCTGAGATGGTGGGGCGGATGGAGCATCTCTTGGGAGCATGGGTGCTCGGCAGGGGACCCCCGCCCACTCCCCCCAACTCAGCGATTGGCTGCAGGGGGACACGGTGTCCCCCAGACCCAGGAGGCACCAGTTGCTGAGCTGGGGGGCCAGGGGGTTCCCCTCGCACTTGGCCCCACAGCGCTCAGCTCTACAGAAGTACTTCCAGTCTACTTCTGGGTCTGCCACTAAGTGTGCTGGGACACCGCCCCCCCCCCCCCC